TTTTCTACATATACACGCTGTTTGTAAGTGCAAAAATAAACAATGTGCATTCCTGCATTTACTGCAGTACTATGTTCCAGGCTACAAGAAGATTGCAAGACACTTTTTTTCATTCTGTTTCATTTTTTTTGATATTCCAAACTACACATGCCTTTTTCGGGTACATGAGGTAAGCTATATGAATACTTAGATGAGTTTGGATGTCCATGATTTTCGAATAGTAACATCCATTCATATAAAGTAATGGATCAGAGAGCCTGTATTAGGTTTTATTAGTCATAAAATAAAACTTTAATGTGGATATTTAAACATGAAATGTTCCACTGACTTACATTTACATATATATATAGATAGATAGATAGATAGACATAAATGTAAGTTAGTGGAACAAGACTTTTTTCCAAGTAATTTTGGGCTGTTTCTTTTGGTCCATTCATCATGAAATTTACACACAACGTAAAGAGGCATTTTCAAATTATGTCAAAAACTGAAACAACAAAAATGGAAATACACGTTTTGTTCCGACAGCATCGATATATATAATTAAGAGTCTTTGCCAGGGATACTTATTCGTACAGCATGACATAATGTGCTTGCCTGAGCAGGGAATTAAAGCCCAGTCTGCTAGGTAGAGGGTGAAGGTGTTATCCACTGTGCTATACAAACTGCAAGCTAAAGACCAGAAAGGTAACATAACCATTGCCATTTCTATTAAACACACACATCTCAAAAAGTATTTAATTAATAATTTCCACTGTACAAATGTCTGATGACAAGCAGTTTCTAAAAGTTATTTAAATTCTCCCAATTATTTCTTAAATACTTGTTGAGATGTGGTGTGTGTCCAATGGAAATGACAATGGTAACATTGCCTTGTCTTTACACTGCATTTGGCATGGTGTAGTAGATAACACTGCAGGCTTCCACTCAGTAGACTGGATTCCCCTCTTGGAATGAACCAAGAGTCCATGGGCAAGACTCTTAATGCTACATTATCTTAACTTTATAACATGAAGTCACTCTGGATAGGAGTGTCTGCCAGGTTCTATAAATGTTCCCCCTTAAAAAAAATATATATTTTTTTAGCCTAATGTTGAACAAACAAATCTAAGTTGGTTAACACAAATTAAGCTCAGCAAGGATGACTACAAAAGCAGCTGCTGAGAACATCTTAATGCATCGTATTGCCTTGGTATTTCGGTATTTATATTCTCTCAATGGTTTCTTTTTCACAGTGAATCTGAATGACTACAGTTTGTCTGCCTCTGTCTCTTTAGACTGGTAGCTTCACATTCTCCTGAACAATGCATGTTAGTGGATACAGGAGAGATAAGGGCGTCTCCAGATATGAACATCATGATAGTATTCACCACGGCTCCAGCTTTCATGTAAGCAGTATTCTGCCCAGATTCACCTCCTGATACAGAACAATCTGTGTTCCCAGCACTGTCATACAGTTTGCACTGTTATCACCAGGTCTGGTGTTATCAGCTCAATGGGAAGTCTTTTTTAGCTCTTTCACATACTAGAAGCTGTCTTTGCCAGTTCGTTCCCTGAAGTCCATCACGCTAAATAAAACACTGTGAATCGACTCGCTAAACAGTCATATTTTTACAGAGTAATAAAGAACGGTCGTATCTTCACAGTTGTTCAGGATTTATGTCTGATGAGTATCAGCGTTTGTCTGGGTTTTGTTTTTCCTTGGCATGTTTAGTCTAGCATTTGTCCGTACCTGCCCTTGCTTCATTATAACAGAGGCATTGAAGGGAAAACATTAGTTTGTTGCCACTGAATATTTCCGAAATGAAGATGCACTCTGTATCTTCTTCTTAGTTTATTCTGACTCACATGACTTGAAGTATGAACAGGAAGCTATGTGGGTGTTTGGCAGTTGAAGCAGAAAAGCCTGGATGCGAGACAAACCGTGCCTTTCAGAGAAAATGCACTTTAAAAGCTCTCTAGCAATTATGTTCTACCCATAGCTTTTGATATTTATACTGTTCATATGCAAACGCTCAGCAATTGAAAACACAAGCTTCTTAAAAGATAAAAGCGTGTTTAAAGAAATGCGCTTTCCCATGGTTTGAATATACACCTCCTCCTCTTTGTGCTGCATCGGTAGTGCACTCACATCTCAAGCATAAAGGTGGATAAAACAGTAATCTTGTTATGAGAAGCTCAGTGGAACACTGGTTGTGTGTTCACAGTGGTAACTGTTACTATAGCAACAGAGAAAGGATGCTGGTTCTGTCTGGATAGGTTGGAGCATCCTTCCCCTGATCTCTCCAACATATTGCTTCAGCGTTGGACATATGGCACGTGGTGAGTCAAAGGACAGTTTTAGTCCTTGTTTCCACCAAGCCTGAATGGTTTGCATCCACTTACAAGTGAATCAACCTTAAGACATCATGTTATGTCTGTCACAGGTCACAAGTGTTTTTCTGAACTCTTTGGCTGTTATAGATGTGGTCATAGTATATATAAGACATATGTATTTACCCAATTTTACCGTCATATGCAAATGTTTGAATGTTTATTTTTTATTATAAAAAATAAACATCTCTTTAAGCAGTGCCAGTTTCCTTCATCACATGACTATACTTTACCACTTATGTGCATAACTCTGCCTTTTCATATTTTGTTAATTTTCTAAGTAAAAAAAAAGTTTCTATTTATTTGCAGATTTTAGCATATTAGCTGAGCTCTGTTCTATCCCACATGTAAATGCAGTGACTAAAGTAACTTTCTATCATTTGAGAAATATCGCTACAGTTCGGCCTTTTCTATCTCAGAGCGACAAAAGCTTTGTTACAAGCAGAGTTGATCACTGTAATGTTCTTCCTACTGGACTTCCAAAGAAAACAATACATCCCTTACAACTTGTACAAAACGCCTCAGCAGCATCCTAACAAAAACAAAACAGAGAGATCAGATCACTCCCATTTTAAAAGAACTACACTGACTACCTGTATTGCTCAGGATAGATTTAAAAGTTCTGCGACTAGTTTTTAAGGCTCTAAATGACCTTAAAGCACTGCTTACATTACAGAGTTTTTAACTTTATCACCTGTCTGTAAAGCAGTTCGAGCTACCACCAGCATGAAAAGTGCTATATAAAAATTATTATTATTTATTATGATATTAAGGAGAAATTTAAAATATTTACATTTTAAATGTGCCATAATCTTTGCATGTGCTTGATCTCAGAAGCTAAGCAAGGTCAGGCCTGGTTAGAACTGGGATGGGAGACCACCTAGGTGCTGTAGTGTAGCAGTAGTGTAGCAGTTGGTGTAGAGTAGTGGTTAATTTTACTGTCCTCCGCACAGCAGACTGGGTTCAGTTCCTGGCCTGGGCAAGCACACCACCCTAAGCCAATAGGAGTCCTTGGGCAAGACTCCTAATGCTGCATTTGCCTAAAATGACTTGATTGTGAGCTGCTCTCTGCCAAATGCATTAATGCAAAAGAGAAAATCATAAAATATAAACATCTCTTTAAACACTGAATACATGCAGTCTGCCAATTTTTCTTCATCACATGACCAGAACTGACCACTTTCTCCATCTCTGCTGCTCTCTGTCTGTCACTCTCGTGTGCATAACTCTGCCCTGTCGTCAGATGAATCTGATCAGCCTCTTGCCAGTCGTGCCAGAGACCACAGACTGTGAACTCCAGGGAAAGTAGATTATAGTGTCTGTCACTGTTTTTATTAGGAAGCAGTGGTATTTACGAACTCTGTTTACTGCCCACTGAAGTCTCCCATACCACTCAGAGCAGAGCAATGTGCCTGCCAGGGACGTTTGAGATGCAGGTGAGTAACATAAGGCCCCATGTGAGATTACATCAGTATGGACAGACTTAGAGCTCTTATGGACTCGGATGCACAGAGGATCTATCATTTAACCCCTAAATCTGCAGGGGTCATAAATACATACTTAGTTCCTTAGTAGTTGATAAATAAGTTGGAAGAGTTACTGAATAATCTTAGGATAAGTCTTTTGATAAAAATGCATAATAAACCTGCAGTTTAAGGTGTTAAAGAACATATATTACTGTGCAAAAATCACCGCCTTTCATTTGTTGCCCAGTTAAAATGGCCAGTAAGTAGAAGGCTACTTTTTAAGTGTCATGAAGAAGAGCAGAAAACATATTTAACAGAAGCATATACTGAAGCCTCAATGACTAAATGTAAATTTATTCAATTTTTATTCATTATTTTATTACATATCAAATTTTATTTCATGTGTCCACCCACAGCTTTTATTTTTTCAGACTTGCTTTCCACTTTAAAAGAAATATGCAGGAATATTTTTCCACACCTTCTAAAGTTCAGTCTTAGAAGTTGGTTGCATTACTTGCTTGTCATGATCCAAGTAATCTCAAACACGTTCAAAGATGTTGAGATCTGGACTCAATGAGGGTGGACAGCCCTTGGGTCTGAGAACACCAGCAGCTTCTTTTGATGGATTTGCATTTTTTAAACTCTCTTTTCTGAGTAAGGGCTTCTCCTCAAAAGCTACACATCCTTTCAGACCCATAGTGCTGAGTCATCTTCTCACAGTGGAAGGATGGACAGAAACACCTGTGGATGTTTTCAGATCTGAAGCAGGTTGATTTTCTCCTCTCTCTCAAAGATGAAAGTTTTACGTGCTATTTATTTGTTTTATTTTATTTAGTGGAGACAGTTTTGTTCATCTACCAGGTCTTATAATGTTGTTAGGGGTCACATTTTCTCTGTGCCTTTCTGGAAACTCCTTCCCCTTCCCTATGCAATTTTCTGTCTAATGCCCTCAAAAATATTTCCTGAAAAGTCAATAATTGTACTTAAAGTGCAATTTGACTTGGAATTAAATAAATAAAGGCTCACTGTACTGTCTATATTTTGTCAGTCAACTTAACCTAAAAGCCTTTTCATTCATTCATTTACTTTTATGAACTTTGTAGATTTTTCAGGTCTGCCAAACTTTCCAAACTACTTTTTTGAGAAGTAACGTCCACCTACCCTTTGTTGTGATCTAAGCCAGGGTCCAGTGTCATCTCTGTGGATATCAAGGTCCAGCGCTTGCCTCTCATCTGATCCTTTTACTGCACTGTAGTGCCCTTGAAGTGTGTCCAGCTCCTCACAGGCTGCACACGTTGAGCAGCCTCCCTCTGTGGGGGTTATTTTGGTGTGTTTAGCTGCAGACAGCCAGAAGAAGGTGTTGCTGACCCCTTCTCCCACACCCCCACTTCATCGACCTCTCACAGTCAAGGAGGCGCACGCGACTGTCCCACTTCACACCCTCTCACCCAGCCTTGATCCGCTGCTCCAGGTTCTGACCCACACGGCTGCTCGCACTTTGTTAGATAACTTGCTGTGACCGTGTTAAATTAAGCCCTGTGGAGAAGTCCTTCTCACTCTGACAACTTACGAGCTATTTTTTCTCAGAGAGTTCAGAGAAATAACTGGGAGCGTGGCTCAGAAGCACGTTTCTGAAGTCTCCTTTCGCAGAATATGACTTGTTTACTTCTTCCAGAAGTCCCTGGTGCCCTGTGCTGGGTTGTGGCAACAGTTCTCAGACTCAGTGTGATTAGATTCAGTCCAGGTTCACGTTGGAAAGATTGTTTTTTGTTTACAGAAATGTTATGACTGTGCTTTGATGAATTTCCTGATTTACGGGCACTGTGGTTCTCCAGCATCAGGAAACAGCAGTTCTTTGGAGTCCAACTAGTTCCTCCAGGTATTACGGGTATTTCCACCATAGCCTGCAACGAGTAACAAAGAAAAAAAAAACAATGTGTTTATGAAATGCCTCTGAGTTTGCTAATCGTTTCAGAGTCCCAAGGCATTTACAGCTAAACCCACAATATGATTTGAAGCGATAACACCACAGAGTCGTATCCACACAGAGCGGGAAAATGTTCCTTTCTGTTTCTTTCTCATGAGGTCAGACAGGAAGGAAAAAATACAAGGGGCCAAAGCCCACATAATCCTTTCGACATCTGACTTTGTACTGAGCTGCAATCCCTTGGTAAGCCTTCCTGAATAGGTGGAACGTAACAACTCTGTTAAGCAAAACTGGACGAGAGAGCAGCTGAACCTCTAGCCAGCTGTGCCACGGTGCCCAGGTAGCGATGCCACCATGGAGAGAGAAAAATTGACCAAAAAAAGAGAAGATTGAACTCTCTGCATTAGAAGGAGGCCAAAAATAAGCCTCATGAAGTCTTCGCTTGAGCTGCGAGAACAAGTCTTGTAAAGAGTCAATTTTTCTTTGCTCTTCAGAGATCTTTGTTTTGTAAGAAGATATCACTCAGGTCATTAACACCCTTCTTCCCCCGTGTGCGACAAGCGGGCAGCGAGAATTAGCGTTCCATAGCTCAGATGCTCCACTCCTGTCACTTACAGGAGGGTGCTGATGGTGCGGCCTGCCTGTTGCACTGCAGTAAATACACAGTGGCTTTCCTTCTCTGTGCAGGGGTGGTGCTTTGGGCCCATGGGATGTGGCCTGGTTGTTGTAACTGAATCCTACAGCTCATTGTTACACGGTTGGGGGGTGAGGAGGAGGAGGAGGAGGAGCAGGGGGTTGCTGGTGTTGGGCGCTAAATTTGACCAAGCCCAGTGGTGGCTTTGAAATAGCCGCCGGTGGAGGGCCTGAGAGGTGGCACATTTAGATGTATGGTGCAGCTGTGAAATGCCTTCTCCCCTAACTGCTAGTAATCTGCAGACAATGCAGGGTGTGGGGGGGATCTGTCAGCAGACGGAGACCTTGATGGCTGCGGTATTGAGTGACCCCCAAATATGTGGCACGTAGATGCTTCCCCAGCCACCTGGCCCAAAACTCTTGTCTGTTTATGTTAGGATGAAAATGGCGCTGAACTGCTGGAGCAGGGAACAACAAACATTCCACGCTAGCGGCAGCCTTGACCCCGGAGCAGCTGAGGCTCGTGAAGAACACGAGGGCCAATGGGCATTTGAAACCCCGAGATCCGGAGATGATAGGAATAAGCATCAGCTCTTTTCTCACGAGCCTGACTGCGAAAAAGCCTCTTCTCATGCAGTTTGGCCTAAATTCAAACAGCCTCTATAGGTTAAAGCATATACTGTACCCCTGTAGTGCTCCTCTTTATAATTCTCTTTCATATGTAAACAATGGAAACTGGAGAATGAATGAATATGCAGAAGCATAGTTTATTAATATGCATATGCCCGTGCTTAGCATGCAAGTAGCTTTGAAGAGCCTCATTGAGTGCTGCACTGCTAATGCAAATTTCTTTTAATGTCTAATTTATGATCAGACCACGCATGGCTATAAGCAAAATGTAGAAAAGATATCAGTAATGAATGTTCTGTATTTACTAGCTCATCTGCAGAAATGGAAGCCTAATTTCTAAGGCTGAGTGACAGGTGGGGCAGTCAGCATTGTAACCTTAGCCTTGTGTCTCCTGAGAAGCAGCACAATGGTTTTGATTTATGAGCATGCTGCGCTTTGACCCCCCCTCACACCAAGCAGCTCCGAGCTTCTTGGAACACAAACAGTGGCGTGATGTGGCGCGTGGAACGCAACAGTTGAGCTAACAACCTCATGCTATGAAAGTATGGCTATTATAATGTTGGTATGGAATAGCGCTACAGATTCAGCTGTGTTAGCTTGCAGCCAAGTAATTGTCTACACTTGCCACATGCAGTTGATTGCTTAATTTCGGTCAGCAACTAAAGCCAAACGCGTGTCTGTTGGTTTTGATGACAGATCTGTTGGGCTTGCATGTCATTTTAAATCAAGGCATTGTTAAAGGTAACTGAAAGGCCGTGATCCTAATAGCACAGTAACTCATAAAGGAATAGAAAAGCTAAGACCATAATAGGATAGTAACTAGGATTTGCATAGCACAGTTGAGTAATAAACCCATTAGTCACCACTGTGACAAAGCCAGTGAACAGAAGCACAGATAGCCAGAGTCAGTTTAAATTCTCCGTGAGAGGTGAGATACTGAGAGCTGTGGTGCGGTTAACATTAGACAGTCTGTGTACTTATGTGAGCCCAGTGTCTGAGGCTGAAATTTACTAAAATACAACAAAAAACTTGCATGCATGCACTTGACATGCATGATGCACATCACACCACAGCATCTGCCATCCTAATAGCATGCTACTAATAAAATAGTTTTTACAGACCTCTGAAAAATTTGCTCTTTTTGTTTATAACTAGTCAACTGCTAACTATTAATAGTCGTGCAACCCTTAATTGTAAGCCTAAAGAAACAGAAAACACATGATTCTAGTAGTATATTTACCCATAAAGGAGCAGAAAAGCCTAAAGCCACAGTCACACTTTAACAAACTGGCCAATTTGCCAATCATACAGTAACAAAACAAAAGTGAACACAGTTACGTCAAAAAATTATTTACTCGTGGGCGTATAGTGCTGCGCACTCAAACCAAAAAATTTAACTGGAATATCTGGAGGCAGTCATATGACTTGTGTGAATTGCGGTTAGCCAAGGAGCTAGCAGTTAGCAAGGTGGCTAAATTGACTACAGCAAAAACACAAAATTGAACATAATTATAGTAGATAACTATATACTCGTCACAGCATAAAACAACCTCAGTTATCTCCACTTTTTTGTAGCAGAAAAGTGTTGATAACTGATTTGGTTGGTGACAAATGGGCGATCTCTGTGCAGCTTTAGATAGCCATGGGGCTAATATCACAGTTAATAAGCAAATAACTTGTAACAAACAGTGAACATCAAAAGACAATAATACAGTCTCTCAACTCAGTGTATTCTGTGTGTTTATTTACAGCCAGTGAGGAAGATATGTTGAAAGTTTTGTGTTTAAATACTGGTTAAATTAGCATTTCCTGAGCTTCAGTGCTGCTATATGAAGGGCCACCTCTTCTGAGGTCAACACAGCTAAAGCAGTAAAGCTGTAGAGGATGCAAATTTGTGTGTCATAGTTTACCAAAGTACACAAAGGCCCAATCACATTTCACCCCTTGCCCCTACCACTTAGCCCTTAGCCCTCTGTTTTGCACGTTCACGTCTAGCGTTAGGGCGTCCCAATTTTTGTTTAGATAGAGGGGTAGGGCGAAGTGTTAGGGCTACATGGCCCTCCAAACGGAGATTTTTCAGAGACTCACTCCAAACAGAGTGTTATCAGAAAAAAGAAAAACCGGCAAGATGGCTGCACGAGCGACCAAAGAAACCCACAAATGTGAGGATTTTCTCCATAAAAATTACAATAACTATCGTATTATCTTAGTTTAATGTTGTTTCAATTTATTATGGTTGTTTTCTTCATAACAAGCATAAAAAATCGCTAATAGCATGCTAATGTTTCAGTAGCTATCTAACTAACTTCCCGTTACACCTTAAATAGTCTAGCAGTTCTGACGCCTGAAGTGCCAGAATGTAACTGCTGCACCATTTAAGGTGGAACGGGAAAATTCGAACAAGAAGCTGGTGAATAGCTGACTTCAGCTTCGTATCACCAAAGAATTAGTGGGCGATAATAAATAGTTGCCCCCCTCTTTGAAAGCATATGATGCCCTAAATGTAACTAAAGCTCAGCAGTGAGGTCGCTGAACTTTACCCTTCTCTGCTATCACTGAACACGGGCCGGGTCGCCTTCAGAGCAGCGCTAGTAGCTGTTAATGAAGCAATGTAATTTGAGGGTTGTCCCATTTCATAGGGCAAGATTTCAACCACTGCGGGTGTGGGTGACACATTTGAAAACAAGGGGTAGGGGTAAAAAGAAGAAATGGGATTGGGCCAAAATTTCACACACAAAATGGATTTGCCCTGGAAGTCTGTGATGCTCAAAGCAGTGGATTCCATTGATATGAATGTAACCCATGCTAGAAAAAACAGCATAGACCTGCACTACTGGTCACCAGCAAAGCCAGCATATCATTGCTGTCATTTTGGTTTTGTGCATAATTTGATCACGTTTTGTGGTGATTGGGCCAATACAAATGCTCTAAAATTGCTTGTAATAAAATCTCTTTACATTAACTTACAATAAGATTTGAGAACATTTTTACCCTCTCCTTAAAAGTCCCGATTTTCAAGATACTAGTTTTTTTTGGACAGCAACAGTATATTGTGTTTAAGATGCTGGTGCCAGCACCAGACCAGCATCAACCAGCTCAGACGAGCAAAGAATGCATGCTCATCTAAGTTGTTTTTTTTTTTTCAGTAGGGATTTCACTTGCTTTCACTTTGCATTTACTGGCAAATGCTAGTGTGACTGGGCATAGTAACCCAAGGGAAACTCACAGTAGGTAGTTTACTCATGGAGATAATAGTAAACCCATAAAGGGGGCATATAATAATCAACCATAACCACACATGCTTTCTTTGCAGCTTGATATCCTTTTTCTCTCTTTTGCCAAAGGCTATGTGATACTGAACAGTGACTAAGAGACCCTTTCAAAGTTGTCTTCAGCCACAATCAAATATGAATGACTGCCCCATGTCTGG